CTGTCACTGACCCTACCTTTGAATCGACTGCTGCGTTTGCCCTAGTTGCTGAGCTTGTCGACTTTGCTGCTCGCTGTTGTCTAGACTACGCTGCCAATCTTGTTGCTGACTCTGAGTCTGTTTGTCCTCCGTCCGTCGGGGGTGAGTGTGCTCTAGGCACGGACGTCCTTGAGGACAGACAGGAGGACCTTGAGTGTCTTGCAACCGCTGCGCCCCATCTCGTGTCCATGCTGATTGCCCCTGAGGGAGACCCGGATGCACCAGACATCCCGACTTCTCGGTCGTACGCATGAGACGATCGAGGGTCCCTACTCCTCACAGTGGCTAGTCAGCCATGGACGCATAGATGGCTTCCTGGAAGTCCACAGGCACCTAGGTCGACGAGGTTCCCCCACCTGGGGCGAACATCGTCAGTGGCATGTGGATTTTCAGGGTGAAACGGTCGCCGGGTTTTCCGCCTGTTTTCAAGGCTCGTTACGTTGCTCGAGGCTTCAGTCAACAAGAGGGAGTAGACTTCTTTCATACCTTCTCCCCCACCCCGAAGATGACCACTCTTCGGGTACTACTGCACGTGGCTGCTCAGCGTGACTACGAGCTTCACTCTCTTGACTTCAGCACAACTCTCTTGCAAGGCAGTCTGCACGAGGAGATCTGGCTGCGCCGCCCTCCTGGCTTCACTGGGTCGTTTCCTCCTGGTACCTAGTGGAGCCTCTGGCAATCGGTCTACGGTCTCCGCCAAACACCACGTGAGTGGCACGACACACTGAGGACTACTTTTGCGGCACTTGGGTTCTCTCCTTCTACTGCTGAACCGTCACTGTTTCTACGCACCGACACTTCGCTGCCGCCGTTCTACATACTCGGTATGTTGGATTATACGCTTTGGACCTTTTGCGTGTAGCGTTTCTACGCTAGCGTGTACACGCTATACGCTAAACGCTAGCGAAAACGCTATACGCAGCCCAAAATGTTTTCGGGGCAGCCCGCCTACCAAAATTTTTTCGAAGTGCTCAAAAGCTGCGGAATTGCATGACGAGCAATTCTGTGATCTCAGATTGCACGTCAGGTGGCTGTCGTGGCTGGAAATTGGAATCGTGTCCTGGAGTCGCGATTACGACCTTCACAATTTGCACGTTCAGAATTGCATGGTCAAGTATGTCGAGTGGCGCAAGCACGTCTCCACAATTCAATCACTCCGCTTCACCCCATTCAAACACGCTTCATCTATCTAGTCCAACCACTCGTGTCCTCATCCCCGTCACCCAGCATGCTATTTAGCCACTCGTCAAAATGTCCATCTCATTCGGTTTTCAACTCCCGCTAGCTAGTTAGCGCGCTATGTCTTGTTCTCCACCACCCACATCGCCGTCCGTACAACCAGAGGAGAGTGCGAGGGTTCCTCCAACTGCGTCACGGGAATACCTTCCCGATGTTAAACACCCTGTGTTTAAAAACTTCAGGCTCATTAAGCGGGAAGAGGGCAAGGCACATCAGTACGAGTGCAAATTTTATGGGTAGATTTTTTTATGGAGAAACACAACCCACCAGAAACCCCCCTTGCTGCACTCCCAGAAGGGTTTTCTTCCCTGCCCGAGAAACTTTTTAGCTGCCCGGAAATGCGTATCCTGGATCAGACCCCTCCCGCGTTTAGCGTATATACGGTGGCGTATATACGACACGCGTATGTACGCCAAACGCGTATAATCCAACATAGCATACTCGTGTACGTCGACGACTTGGTCTCTGCTACTGCTGACACTGAGGCTCTCGCCCACGTGAAGTCGGAGCTGCAGAAGAAACACACGTGCACAGACCTGGGTGAACTGCGCAGCTACCTTGGCTTGCATATCACCCGGGACAGAGCACGCCGCACCATTACCCTGACTCAGTCACACATGGTGCAGCAGGTCCTTCAGCGCTTCGGCTTCACCTGGTCCTCAGCACAGGCCACTCCTCTGGCTGTCGGTCACTCGCTCTCAGCTCTGCCTTCGGATGAGTCCGTAGAGTCGAGTGGTCCTTACCCAGAGCTAGTTGGTTGCCGCATGTACCTGATGACTTGCACTCGTCCTGACCTAGCATACCCTTTTGGTCTTCTGGCCCGCTACGTGGTTCCTGGCAGGCACCGAAAGGTGCACTAGGATGCTGCAAAGAGGGTCTTGCGCTATTTGTGCATTACATCGGGCATGGGGCTCGTGCTTGGAGGAGGGAGCTCAGTTGTTCTCACTGGGCACTCAGACGCTTTTTGGGTTGATGACCAGGCTACTCAGCGGTCGTCATAGGGTTACACCTACAGCCTTGGCTCGGGCTCGGTTTCGTGGCGCTCTACGCGTTCGTCTTTAGTTCTCAGCTCCAGCTGTGAGGCTGAGATCTACGCCACAGCCATGGCTGCACAGGAGTTACGCTGACTCACCTACCTGCTGACCGACCTGGGAGAGCGGCCTAGTTCTCGTCCAGTGCTGTACGTCGACAACAAGGCTGCCATTGCCTTGTGTGAGGAGCACAGACTGGAGCACAGAACGAAGCATATTGCTCTCCGTTACTTCCTTGCTCGAGAGCTGCAACAGTGCGGTCAGCTTCCTCTGCGTTACGTGGCCTCTCAGGCCATCACTGCTGATATATTCACCAAGGCACTTCAGCCTGGTGATCATCAGCGTTTCTGCACTTTTGCTGGGGCTGGTGCCCATTTTTCCTCACTTGTTGTAGGCTTTACCTGTACTGTGATCTCTATATATATACTCCTGCCTATCTGCTCTACTAGGTTGAGATCACCCTTGTTGTTTGTGCTGCCTATATACTTCTGCATGTGAACTGGCCATGTGGCCCTTTGCTTGTGCTCGGAATGTGTGGTGATGTTGTGATCCACCCTGAGCTTGCTTGCAAGGTTCAAAATTACGACCGAATTATTGATTTTTTACCATATAATACGGAATCGTATTATACGATCGTATAAAACGGTTTAAAACGGTGGATGCGTGTTTTTATTGTTTGGTTCAAAAATACGGTCGTATTTCACGACCGAACTTGTGAATTCGGGTCTGTGTATATCGAATTCTCAAATTTTCCACCTCTGTTTCTCCCGAAGTCAAATTTCTCGCACACCCGTACAGACGAAAGTGACGTTTTGCCAAGTCGCGAATGTCACGACTTTCTCGAGTCGCGACATTTGGGCATTTGGCGAAGGCGAATGCTGAATTTACCTGTTTCGTCAACTCGTTGGCAATACTCGCCGAAGCGCAAAGCGTACAAATTACCTTGGCGCGGCATTTCAACATTTGGCGAAGGGTAAACATAGGTTTGCCCGTTTCGCTTTGCCCGTTTAGGATTTTCGCGCACCGCATTTCTTTTTCGCTGGCAATCGCGACACACCCAACCGACGCGATGCGAAACCAATCCAGCCTATCAACTTACCCCTCGTATCTCAACCGTTTTCCACAACCCACTCGACACAGCACGCCTAGACTTCACGAGGTACTCAACTCACCCTTCCCTCACCCCAACCGCCGCTCTCTCTAGTTAGAAGAAAAAAAGCATCAAAACAAGTCTATAAAAAATACGCCGTATCTTTGGAAAATTTACCGTATAAAACGACCGTATTATATGGACCGTATAATACGATTACCGTAATTTTGATCCTTGCTTGCTTGCCCTTCTTGACTGGTCTTGTGACCCCTTGCTCTCCTCCACTTTGCTTATGGGGGTGTGTCAAACACTATATGTGTTATTATTGTGTAGGCTATAGTGGGTTAGCTTTTAGGGGGTACACAAAGCTAGGGTTTGGTACTTGTACTCCAACTTTTCATAGTTCAATCACTTCTTGTTTCTGACACATCACACATGGCACATCACACATGGCACATGGCGCATCACACATGGCGCATCACACATGGCACATCACACATGGCACATCACACATGCCACATCACACATGGCACATCACACATGGCACATCACACATGGCACATCACACATGGCACATCACACATGGCACATCACACATGGCGCATCACACATGGCACATCACACATGGCATATGACACATGGCACATGGCGCATCACACATGGCACATCACACATGGCACATCACACATGGCACATCACACATGGCACATCACACATGGCACATCACACATGGCACATCACACATGGCGCATCACACATGGCACATCACACATGGCACATCACACATCACACATGGCGCATCACACATGGCACATCACACATGGCACATGACACATCACACATGGCGCATCACACATGGCACATCACACATGACACACACATGGCATATCACACAGGGCACATCACAATGGCACATGGCACATGGCACACGCCACACGGCACAGAACATGGCAAAGAAGGACAAAGCATTGAAGGAAGCATGTACCTCTGCGGTTCCACAACTGCAGCTCCTGCTCTTCCTGCCGCTGCTACTGCTACTGCACATCATGACCATGAGTTTTGAGGCGCCTTGCACACAAAAAAATGAAGGAAGCACGTACCTCCGTGGTTCTGCAACTGCCAACTGCAGTTGCTGCTGCTGCTGCTCCTGCTCTTGCTGCTTATTGTGCCCATGCAGATGCTCATACTCATGCCCATGCCCGTGCCCATGCCCATGCGCATGTCTGCCCGTGTGGTGGTGTCTGCTTCTCCTCGGTTCCTTGCAGTTCTCTGCCAGCCAATCCACACACCCCGTGTCTAGATCATCTAACGACCCTCTGATGGACATCAACGTTCCGTCCCCTGTGGCACTGGGGATGGGAATGGATGGCAATGGCAATGGGAATGGGGATGGGGGCGGAAGGGAGGGGATGAGAGAGGGTCGATTGAGTGAGCCGTGTGCTGCCGGCCACTCCACTCCACACACCCCTTATCTGGATGGTCTAGCGACCCTCTCATGGACATCACCATGCCGTCCCCTGTGGCACTGGGGATGAGAACGGGGGCGGCACAGAGGGAGGAGGAAATCGGGTCGATTAAATGAGCCCTGTGCTGTCACCCACTCACTCCACACAACCCGTATCTGGATTGTCCAGCGACCCTCTGATGGACATCAGCGTGCCGTCCCCTGTGGCACTGGGGATGAGAACAGGGGCAGCAGGGAGGGCGAAGCGAATGGGGTTGGTTGAGTGAGCCCTGTGCTGCCACCCGCACTGGCATTCGCGAGCCATCGGAAATACGATGGCGGGTATCTATTGAATTAATTTTCAAGAGCCAACTAGTCCCCCATGCCGCATAGCACCCAGCCCTCTCAGATGACATGACCATCTGCACTGCACTGCACTCGATGTTGGGTTGAGGCGATCCCTCTCAAGTTGACTTTTGAGTCGACTCAAAAGTTCCCTCTCAGATGACATGACCACCAGCACGGCACAGCGCTCGATGTTGGGTTGAGACGTTTCATCACAAGAAGGCCAAGTGAAGCGAAGCTGCTCCTGAGTGGACAGAAAAGAAAACCCACCTGTCCACTTGCACTCGAATGCGAGAGCCAACAAAAATGCGGTGGGAGGGGTCCTCTTTGTGCTGCCAGTGCTGCTGGTGGCTGTCGTCGTCCCCGTCGTCAGCAGCGGCCTTGGAGGGATGAGATGAGATGAGAGAGAGCGTGAAATGGGAGGAGAGGCAGTGAAAAAAGCAGGGGAATAAGACGAGATAGGTGGAGGAAGGGGGCAACGGTGCACAGCATGCACTCCACTGCACTGCCCTGCACTGCACTGCACTGCACCCACACACACACACCTGCCTGCACATGGCGCCGCCGCACCTTACGCCGCTGCACCTGACGCCGCTGCACCTGGCGCCACCGCACCTGACGTCGCTACACCCGACCAGTTTATGCGCTCATGGCAGCACATGCTTACGCACATGCACATATCAAAGGTGCACGCACGTGCGTGCACCCACCCACCCACCTGCACATGGCGCCAGCAGCGCATGAAACTGGCCAGGGACAGAGGCATTGAATACGCCCAGCAAGGGTGCACAAAATGAGCAGATGGTGCACTGCATCAGCAAGGGTGCACATCACTGCACTGCGCTGCACTGCACTGCGCTGCACTGCACTGCATCGGCAAGGGTGCACATGACTGCACTGCACTGCATCGGCAAGGGTGCACTGCCCCCGACCCACCAACCTCCACGTGCTGCCATGCGCGCATAAACTGGTCGGGTACAGCGGCATTGAAGACAGACAACATGAGCAGAGCAGAGCAGACACCTATTACTGCACTGCACTGCACTGCAGCGCATTAACTCACGAGTAGAGCAACTGCACTGCACTGCACTGCAGCGGCATTGAAGTCGGACAACAGGAGCACAGCAGACACCTAATACTGCACTGCACTGCACTGCACTGCAGCGCATCAACTCACCTCCACACGCTGCTGCCACGAGCGCATGCACTGGTCGGGTACAGCGGCTTTGAAGACAGACATGCGTACATACCATATTCATATGTATGTACGTATGTATGTATGTATGTATGTATGTATGTATGTATGTATGTATGTATGTATGTATGTATGTATGTATGTATGTATGTATGTATGTATGTATGTATGTATGTATGTATGTATGTATGTATGTATGTATGTATGTATGTATGTATGTATGTATGTATGTATGTATGTATGTATGTATGTATGTATGTATGTATGTATGTATGTATGTATGTATGTATGTATGTATGTATGTATGCGTATGTATGTATGTATGTATGTATGTATGTAGGTACGTACGTACGTACGTACGTACGTACGTACGTATGTATGTATGTATGTATGTATGTATGTATGTATGTATGTATGTATGTATGTATGTATGTATGTATGTATGTATGTATGTATGTATGTATGTATGTATGTATGCATGCATGCAAGTGTGCCCGTGTGCACTGCACCCATGCACCTCCGCGTGGTACCAGGAGCGCATGAATGAATGAACCCATCGGCGACGGCGGCGTTAAACATACAGGCATACATACAGACAAGACAAACATGCATGTGTTTGTATACACCAGCAAGAATGCACTGCACCCACGCACCTCCACTCCACGTGGTACCAGGAGCGCATGAACTGATCGGAGACAGAGGCGTTGACGACAGACAGACATGCACATGAACATGCACATGAACATGCACATGAACATGCACATGAACATGCAGATGAACATGCGGATGAACATGCAGATGAACATGCAAACTCATGCACACACCAAGACAAGCGTGCACTGCACCCACCTCCTCCACGTGTTTCCAGGAGCGCATGAACTGGTCGGGCACAGCGGCGTTGAATATGCCCAGCACGAGCAGACCGATGAAGTCCGCCCCCACATTGTTCACCACGCCCTCTGAGAGTGCGAGGCGAAGGATAGGGAGTGGTGGGTAGGGGTGAGTAGGGGGAAGTGGCGCGGAAGAAACAGTAGTGAGCAGGGTGGGCAGCACAAGCAGAGCGATAAAATCCGCCCCCACATTGTTCTGGAGAAAGTTCACCATCCCCTCACTCCTCAATGCACACTCCTCAATGCACACTCCTCAATGCACACTCCTCAATGCACACTCCTCAATGCACACTCCTCACTCCTCACTCTCCACCCCCCACTCCCCACTCTTCACTCCCCACTCTTCTCTCTTCACTCCTCACTCCTCACCCCTCCCTCCTCCCACCTCCCACCTCCCTCCTAACTCCTCACTCCTCACTCCTCACTCCTCCTCACTCCTCCCTCCTCCCTCCTCCCACCTCCCTCCTAACTCCTCCCACCCACCTCCCTCCTAGCTCCTCACTCCTCACTCCTCACTCCTCCCTCCTCCCTCCCCCCTCCCTCCACTCCCCCCTCCTCACTCCTCCCTCCTCCCTCCTCCCTCCTCCCTCCTCCCACCTCCCTCCTCCCTCCTCCCACCTCCCTCCTAACTCCTCCCACCTCCCACCTCCCTCCTCCCTCCCCCCTCCCCCCTCCCCCCTCACCAAGAAAGGCTGCCTCACCAAGAAAGGCTGCCTCACCAAGAAAGGCTGCCTCACCAGGAAAGGCTGCCTCACCAAGAAAGGCTGCCTCACCAAGAAAGGCTACCTCACCAAGAAAGGCTCCTGGTCGCGGCGCAAAGAGCAGCAGGCGCGCGGAGAGGCTGACGTGCAGGTAGGGGTTGAGTCCGGTTAGAATGGCTGCGGTGCGGCCGAACAGCAGCACGTTGGAATAGGCCAGCACGATGCCGCCGTGCTGCTCGCTGTACCTGAGGGGGGCGGGAAGGGGAGGGCGCAGGGGAAACCACAGGCACAGCAAGTGAGACGGGAGCTGGTTACCGACAGACGTGCAGACAGACGGACATACTGGCTGGGAGCCGGCGCCCCACACACGCACGCAGCTCACGTTGGAGTGGGCCAGCACGATCCCCCCGTGCTGCTCGCTGTACCTGCCGGCGACGGAAAGGGGCAGGGCGCAGGGGGGATTAGAGCAAGCGAGCAGGGAGTTGGTTGCCGTCACAAGTAGGGAAGATTACGCAGAATGCTGACTCGGGGCTCCACAGACGCAGCACGTTGGAGTAGGCCCGCACGATCCCGCCGTGCGGCTCGCTGTACCTGACGAGGGGGGACGAGCAGGGCGCAGCGGGGATGGTTGAAAGAACGAGCGGACGAGGGCCGCTCACAGCAGATGCGACGCAAACCAAGCCGGGCGGATTTTTGAAAGAATCGTTTCGTTAGAAATCGTCAAACGACTCGCAGTACATGTGACATTGTAACGAGCTGACTATTGAGTCGACTCAAAAGTCAGCTAATTTTTTCAGAAACCATCAAACGACTCGCAGTACATGTGATGCGAACGAACGCGGGCGATTTGGAAGGAAACACTCAAGCTGGGGGGAATTTTCATTTTCAACCGACCCGCAATAGATGTGATCATCGCGAAAGAACGCTAGTGCACACGTGAGAAAGCCGAAACTTCAAGCACGGAGAATGACGAGGCACACGAACTTCAAGCACGGAGAATGACGAGGCACACGAAGCGAGAACCTTCAAGAGACAAACGAAGCGACACGTCACGAGCGACTGCTGTACCGCATAAGTGAGTTGTTCAGCTGCTCCTTCACTCCTGCTACTACATTCCCGGACCGCGACGGGTGGATATCCAGAGTTAATCGCGTCTCGACCTCCCTGAGCGACGTGCGGTCCACCACTGCTGCTCGCGAGCCCATCGTCGTGGGGCTTTTCCGCGTTACTAGAGCCATTACGGTCACTATGCACTGTACCGGGGAAGGCTTACAACGCGCTCGCCATAAACTGTGATTGCTGCCTTTCCAGCGCGCTCGTTTCATGTGCCAATGGCTGGTCTTTCCCGCGTATTGCGTTGGCGCGCTTCCTTCGCGTTAGGCAACGTGCATATTCCCTCTATTTTCCCAAAACCCTGTGGGTTTGGGAGTTCGGGTTCATCGTTATGAGTGCAAACCCCATCGAGAAAATTCACTTACACCAATTGTTACTAGTGCAATTGAGTGAAAGAACGAGAATTGCACTATCTAAGCAAGAGTACAATGAGCGAAGGCATGAGCGAAGAATATATACCGAAACTAAAGTGGTAACGGTAATGGACTGTGGTTGTCGCGCGACGGGCCTGGGACTGAGGTTGAGAAAAAGTGTCGAAGCGGAGGCCCGGAGCGCGGGTTACCCGCCGAGCCGTGAGCTCGGGGTGCGATGTGTGAAGGTGGCGGGCGGATTGTTGATGCGAGGGTTGCGAGTGGTAACGGTGCTGACTGTGGTGCTACAGTGATGTACGTGTTGAGCAGGGATGCGAAGTAAGGAAAAGGAATTTTCCTTACACTACCCCCCCCCCCCCCCCCCCCCCCCCCCCTTAAAGGAGGTCCTCTTTACGAAAGTGCGTGTACATCTCTGAAATTTCGGCTGCGCAGATACTCGGTGAGAACGGGGTGGTTTTCGATTCTGTCCAGGGGAACCCAATTGTCTTCGGTGGGTGTACGGTCCTTCCAGCGGAGTAAGAACTCAATCCTTCGGGCTCCTCGAGGGTCCCGAACTCTGTGACTCATGATTTTCTCGGGGGTGATGATTGGTTCAGTTGGTGGTCTTGTTATGCTGGCTGGGCGATTGCGTGGCAGTTGGCTCGTGGACGGGACGTACGGGCGAAGTAAGCTGGCGTGGAATGAGGGGCTGACGTACCAGTCAGCAGGGAGGAAGAGGTGGGCGGTGACGGGTGTAAGCATGTGGCTTATGCGAAATGGCCCGCAGTATCGGGGGCGGAGTTTCGGGGTGATGGGCAGTCTGAGGTTCTGAGTGTCAAGTAAAACTTGTTGGGCTGAGAAGCCCTAAGGATCTTTGTAGAGTTAAAGACTGAGTAGGATTGTAATAGCGGAAGCGTTTGAGTAAAAGGTCTTGAACCACCTTGCGCTAGTATGTGAGGGCAAAGTAAGTTGTATTAAACAAGCAGATACAAGATTCATATAATAGTACAAGGAATACGAATAGATAGATTTAAACCGTTTTACTGTTGCGATTCGATACAGTGCGACTCGGGCAACTGCTCAACGTCGAGTCAGTTGTGTGTCCTTGCTGTCGCGCTGTAATTGTCAAGTCAAAGGTCGCTGACCTTTGACTTTCCCGTAACCTCCAGGCGGTTACCCTAGCCTCCGAGGGTTGACTCGCGATGCTTCGACTTGGACTGCTTCGTTAGTGTCCTGAGTTTCGACACGACGGAGGCGCTTAAGACTTGTTGTTCCCAACACTCCCCTTCGCTTCTGGAGTGTCGCAGATGGTGACGTGGCCTTGTCCAGTCAGCAGCATGCAGTACTCGAACTTCTGTTTTCCGAGTTTCTTGGTCAAATAATCGGCTGCCATCTCAGACGTGGGACAGTAGGATAATTCGAGTTTCCCTTTCTCGATCTCGTCCTTCACGAAGAAGTATCGCAGAGCGATATGCTTCGTTCTGTTCGCGAATCCGCTTTTGTTGGCGATGCAAATTGCAGATTGGTTGTCGCAGAACAGAGTGAAGTTGGGTAACTCGGCTAACTTTGCTTCTTCCAGCAGCTCGCGAAGGTAGAGTCATTCCTTGGTGGCTGAGCAGAGGGCGATATATTCTGCTTCAGCTGAAGATAGAGCAATTAGTTCCTGCTTGCTCGACTGCCAGGAGATAGGCCCGATAGGCTAGAGACGATAGACGTAGCCGGTGCGAGAGCGCCTGTTATCAGAGTCGCCGGCGTGATCGGCATCGACATAGCCGATTAGCTTCGTTGACGCAGCTTCGTTCTTGTAATAAGTCAGGCCAATCGTCGGTGTGCTCACGAGATAGTGCAGTGCGCGATCGAGCTCTGCCAGGTGATCTACTTCAGGCCTCTTGAGATAAGTAGCGAGCTGGCTAGCGGAGTAGGACAGGTCTGGGCGACAGGTGATGGCTGCGAAGAGTAGACAGCCCAGTTTTCGCTGATAGTCGCGTATTCCGGCAGCTTTGAGTAGGGCGGAGTTTCCTTGGCCGTTTCCTGCCCTGTAGCGGTATGGTGTGGCGATAGCGGTGGGTGCGAGCGAGAAGCGCCTGGCGATCGTGTCGGCGTATTTCTCGGCGCTTAGATAGATTGCGTTTTCTTCTTCGCGAATGTTGAGCCCGAGGTACTGCGTAACGGTAGAAGAAACCGTGAGCGTGAGGTCTTTCTGCAGCTCCCCTTCGAACCAGGTGGTGACGTCGTCGGTGGAACCGATGTAGAGGAGATCGTCGACGTAGACGATGAGTAGGATGTAGTTGGCGTCTTTAGTGAGTCGGTACATGCCCTGGTCATGGGGCAGTTGGCGGAATCCGATGCGGATGAGGCGGGTGTGTAAGTGCTGTTGCCACAGGCGTGGGGCCTGTTTGATTTCGTAGAGGGATTTTAGCAGTTGGCAGACTTGATTGGGTTCCCCGTGGGTACCGTGAGGGAGCTCGACGAAGATGTCGGCGTCGACAGGTGCGTAGAGGAAGGCGTTGGCGACATCAATTTGTCGCAGCTTTTTCTTCTTCATGGCGGCAACGGCGAGAAGAATTCGGAGTGAGGTATGTCGACTAACTGGGGCGAATGTCTCGGTGAAGTCTCGCCCTTGCTCCTGGTCGAATCCTCGCACGACCCATCGTGCCTTGAACTTCTCGGTTGTACCATCTGCTTTCGTTTTGATGCGGAAGACCCACTTCCCGGTGAGAATGGTCTTGTTCCTTGCCACGCTTGCGGGAACGACCTTCCAGGTGTTGCGTTCCTCCAGCGCTTTTAATTCTCTGTCCATGGCTTCACGCCATTTCTCCCTGTGTTCCCCCCCCAGAGCCTGCTGAACTGTCGCATGCTCTTTAGGAAGAGGGTTGCCGGCGTTCCCGTGGACTGCGGTGACGAGGCCGAGGATTTGCAGCCCAGTCTGTGAGTATCGGGGGAGTGTTGTATCCTCGGGATAAGATGCTTCGTCTCCTGCTTCTGGATCGGGGATGAAAGTTGGCCCTATCCTTTCTGCTTCATTTGTGTTGACTGTCGCAGGTGTTACGTAGCCGTTGTCGGCGAAATGGTAGAAGACTTCGGCGTTGTTACTGTCGCGAGGATTTTCTTCGTCCATGGGCACGTCGACGGAGCAGTACGGGAGAGGTCCGGCTTCTTCCGATGCGTTGTCAACGTTCTGTTCATCCCAGTCTGCTTCGTCTGCTGCTGACGCGAAGGCTCGGTCACCACGAAAGCCACCTATGAGGTCCTGATTCTCGTGCAAGTTGGCGAGGTACGTCTGAAGGGTGAGTCGCTCGTAGAAGATCACATCACGTGCTGCCACTGTTTCTTTTGTGTGGACGTCGAAGATTCTCCACGCGTTGTAATTTTTCTCGATGCCGAGGTGTAGTCCCCACTGTGCTCGTTGCGAAAATCTTCCCGCTCGTGCTTCTAGGGGTCGGTACTGTACCATGCACCCGAAGACTCGTAACATTTTTGTGCTGCCCTGTTTTCTTGTCCACAGCAGATGAGGTGATGCGTTGTTCGGGAGTGACGACGATGACAGCAAGTTGTGCAGCATGACAGCATGGTCCATTGCTGCTGGCCACTGGTGGTTGGGTAGCCGCATGCCACGTAGTAGTTTGCGCATGCTGTTCTCAGAGTCCTGTTCATTCTTTCTGCAACACCTTGCTGCTGATGTGCGTAGGGAAGGGAGAGGAGTTGCTTGATCCCCCTTTCCGCCAGGTACTGCTTGAAGCGCTGAGAGGTGTACTCGCCACCTCCGTCTGACTGGAAGCTTTTCAGCTGCGTTCCTGATTCCCTCTCTGCTATCGGTAGCTAGGCGGCGAACGCTACGAGTGCCATGTCGCGGCTGGGTAGGTTGCGATGCCAGACGTATCGAGTGACGGCGTCGATGAAGGTGATCGTGTAATTGTAGGTGACTTCTCCTGATTCTCGGTTGAAGAGGATGTCGCTGTATACTTTTTCGAGTGGTGCGTATGCAGGTGCGCTCGGGTTGTGGTGAGAAGGAAACGGTCGATGGGGTAAGTCGGCTTCGGGGCAGATGAGGCAAGTCCCCCGTGCACGTTGAAGTTCTCTGCCGTCGGGTAGTAGTAGCGAATCTTTGTCTAGCACTCCTGCTCGTATCGTATTATTTAAGACCGTGTTGCTTGGATGTCCTGTGCGTGCGTGCCAGATATCTTCAGAGGCGCGGTGTCCGGGTGAACGTTGGTATGCGTCGGAGTTGGAGTAAAAGCTGGCGACGAAGTTGGCGCTTCGGTGGACTTCTCGTTGAGTCGGATTCAGCTGTTGTGCGGGTGTTGGTGGAGCTTCGTCGACTGTGACTGGTGTCGTTGTTCCTGCTGCTGCCGATGTTGTCTCTGCTGCTGCCGATGTTGTCTCTGCTGCTGCCGATGTTGTTGCTGCTGCTGCCGAAGTTGTTGCTGCTGCCGATGTTGTTGCTGCTGCCGATGTTGTTGCTGCTGCCGATGTTGTCTCTGCTGCTGTCGTTTGTTGAATCGTCGCTAACGCTCGTGTTCGTTCTGCTTCAGGGATGGTGTGGGAGTACCAGAAACCTCCCGGGCTGAAGTCGGGATCGAGATCCGGAGGGTGTGTCCAGTTAGTAAAGTTCACGATGGCGTCGCTGTCTGCAGTGCCCAAGTCGGGAACGAAGTCGAGAACGAAGACGTTGTTCTTCAACACTGCTCTCCCGATGTAGAGACCGCCCTTCCCGTGATACAATTTAAACTCCTGGGTGGTGCTGTCGGCTTCTAAGTGGATGCCTTTCGCCATCA